TGACAGTTTTTTTTTCCATTTTTTGCCAAATTTTCAAACAATATCGTGCCGCAACCAGTGTATTCGCCTGATTAGCAACGTACGACTTTTCTGCAAACTCAAATGCCCATTCGGGGAAACCGTTTTGAGTCAATTGAAACATTAAACTTGAACCGCTATGCGCATTGAATACTATTCCGGAAATTGACTTTAACAATTGTTTCGAGGATTGGAAAAAAAGTTCGCACAAATATATTGTGGCCAAGGAGGATTGCTTTGAGGTGGATGACTTAAATTTTGAGGAATAAATTAATAATTTGAAAATTACGAACAAAGTATTACTATTTTTTGTAGTACATCGAAAATAAAAATTTTCATAATTCCGGTTGACTTAAAACCATATACATATGCACATATATTGGACAATTTAATCGGGTCAATACTTCTCCTAGCCCTAGTATACCTAATATAGTGATTTTCGATTTTTCAGTTGGCTTCGAATCGTTTATTTTGGTCAATATGGTATGTGTAGCTGTATTCCTTTGTGTGCTACCTTCTATTTGATTTGATCTTTGGCTCTTGGTGAGGGTCTCGAATACTGAAAATTTTTAAATAGAATTCCCCTTAACAAATAAAACAACTTAATGCTTATGGTTGACTCCATACCGAAAATATTCGTAGCCACTTTCATTAACACAGTTCAGCGAAATGAAAGACAGCGGCTACGCTCCGCTAAGTCCGAATGAATTGTGCAAGGGTTACTATTTTAATATTTTTCCAAATACACTGTCGTTATGGCTATACGACAACTTTATGACAACTCCAATAACATCAAAACGGCTAATTAGCATAAATATGTAAATTTCATATTTTTACTCAACTTGATATCGATTGCTTAATGTATATGTACTAACAAATCGATTCTACACGATTCTACGATTCTTAATTTAAGATTGTGAAATTGTTTCAAATGCMCTGTCGTTATGGCTATACGACAACTTTATGACAACTCCAATAACATCAAAACAGCTATTTAGCATATATGTACATATATGTAAATTTCATATTTCTGCGCAACTTGATATCGATTGCTTAATGTATATGTACTAACAAATGGATTCTACACCTTAATATAACCTATTAAACCATCCTTGGACGACTTTACTCGGAAAGTAGCAGCAAGTTCAGCTATAAGAATAAAGGAATAAGGATATTGGAACAGGAAAGACACTTAATCAGCTAAGCTCAAATAAAACAGCCTATTTACTCCCAAGGTTAGATTTCAACCACTCTTTATACTGACGGGCTCAATATAGTCGCGGAGTAAGGGCGGGTGTGTATTCCAATGATCTCGAAGTTTCTCTCACGCCATTGCTGGCTTACGATATAACGATTCCGCTGCCTCGACATTCGGATCTAAGTAACCAAGATTTAAACTCGGCCAAGGACTGTCAACTCGACACCATTCCTCGAAATTTCTCCAGGAATCTTTTCTTTAGATACAACAACAACAACGCCACTAGTAGTCAACAATTGCTAGAAGACTTTAAGCTCACTGGCAGGCCAACTTCACTTATCCATAATTTGGGTTCCCGGCCACTGGAAAACTTTCAGGTAACATAAAGGCAACTTGATTTAGTTAAACTAGGAGTCTCTATAGACGAATACCAAGCGGAGTTTTACAAAGATCAAAAGCGTGCTGTATACGCAGTTTGAAAAAATAATTATTAAGCAGTTGAAAATCAATAATCAACTAAGTATGTAATTTCGTTGAGAGAAAAAATGGTTTAGTCGCAACAATGAAACGAAATAACAAGGTCACGAAGGTCCTACGGTAGTGCATTCAATACCAAATTTAATTTTAATCCATTTGTAACAGTTTTTAATACAAATTTTAGCCGTCATTGGTTCTTGCAAATCACGAGAATATAAGATATTCGTCTGCACTCGAACTTAGTCATTTATTACTTGCTTAGATGCTCTGCATCGAAAAATCAACAATTTGAGATTTTGGTCATTTCTTTTAATACAAAAAACCCATAGTTAACGGTAAACAGTGTGTTATCACTTTCGCAACGATCAACTTGTCACGTGCTCACGTTGTGACGTAAAAACCGGCTGGAGGAACACACTTGGAATCCCCACATGCTGCTGCTATCGCTCTCAGTGCCTACGCGCTTATACAAGTCTATTTCGGTTTGTATGCGCATGATTCATGAGATTTTGCTACAATTACTGGTTGTCAGCGGAATTTACGCTAAATAAAAGAGTCACCGACACTTTCAATGCGTGTAAGTATGTAACTGTACAAGATGTTGGATATATGTTGCATATATTCATATTTAAATATATTTAACTCAAGCCAGTGGACATAATTTTATTTGTCTATTAATACTTCCGCTCATTTGTGTATCTAAAATTATGCTCTATATATGTATATTTGTATATACGAGTACATTGAACAAATATTGAAATATTTGTAAATACATTGAACCAAGTTCTATTTATTGCTTAGTAATTGGGCATTTGTGTGACCAATAGTTCTTAGACTTTGCGTTATTTAGAAGGAAAAGGCGGAAATTTATTAGAATACCACAATTGAGTGTGTCGAATTTTAAACGAACTCTAAATTTAATCGCTGTCTCAAAACATTTTCATGAGAATAAAGATATGCTCATTAAAATCAAAAATCTGACGCTGTTATTACTCAACTTTTTACTTGTAGGTTCACTTGCACATAATATTTGTATGTACATATATACAAGTAAACAGTTAATTGTGTTATTCTCAAAAGATAACTCTTCTATGTACATACGTAGATACATACATATGTAGATATTATTGACACGTGATTATTTTGCTGTAAGATTTTACAATGAAAATGAAGAATTTTATTCTTAGCCAACTTAAGTGGTCTTCTGTCAGATTCCTCGGAATCCACTATATTATTAYTATTCTGTTATACTGTTTGCTATTTAAAATTCTCCTTTTAAAACTTATACGTAATATAGCCTGACCTCAAACTTGTAAGAAATTGTACTAATTTATAGTTGGATTTTTCTGAGATTTATGCTGACTAGATAAACTGAAACCTATTATAGAACCACTCAAAAATGTGTCAGTATACCCGGAAGGAAACTTAAGAGACTCTATAAAATATATATAAATGAGCTGGGTTGTTTTAGCTATATCTCATGTTACTAGCTCTTCAGTTTTTGAGTTATCCATTTTTATTGGTATAACGGGTGATCCAAGTAAAATACTTTTTTCAATAGAATATTTTGTCAAGTCACGTGTGAGCTGTATCAAGGTGTCATGCAATATTTTGTTTGGCATTTCATTATTAAAAATCACTTTCTGTAAAGACTCACTTAGCTCAACTTATGGTGAACATAATCGACCTGCTGGGTGCACTATTTGCAGCACCATCACCCATCTTGGGACTTAGCATTCATTATTGGATAATATTCGACCAAATAGACCATGTCCACAACGCAGTGAAAAAAATTAGCAGCCGTAGCTGAGAGTGTACACGAAGACCGTAAAGAGTCCATTCGCTCGCCGATCGCAAACATTTAGACCCGACGTTCGCGAGCAAATTTTGTTATGCGATGAAGCCCAATTCTGGCTCAATGAGTATGTAACACAGTACCTCTACTGAGATATGTAAGCTTACCACATTTAGGACGAAGGATTCAAGAGATTTAGTGTAGTTTGTGGATCAACCTTACCGCGCCATGATAATTGACTATTTCATGGCTGAAATAAAAGCTCGTTATCTCGGCGACATTTCATTCTGCGAGTTTCAACAAGACGCCACCACTTCCCACACATCGCATCAATGGATTTATTGGCAGAACACTTCGATGAGCAGATAATTTCACGTTTTCTGTCGATCGATTGGCCATCAATATCATGCGATATCATACCATTAGATTTTTTCCTGTTGTGATCTGTAAAGTCTGAAGTCTATGCAACAGTCCCGCTTCGCTTCAGGCCTTGGAGCAAAACATCACGCGTGTTATTCGTCAGTTACCAGTCGAAATGCTCGAACGAGACATGAAAAATTGAACTCAACGGATGGACCATCTACGATGTAGCCGCGACTAAATATTCTTCAAAGAATAAATTCCAAAAAATATTCTTTCGAATGATAATACACACTCCCCATTAAATTTGAGGTTTATGTGTTTTTTTTTTTAGAAATATATTATTTCACTCTATATATTATATTCTGCATACTTCCTTTTCTCACTTAAAGCCTGTTTGGACCCTTATACCATATATAGCAGCCATACAAACTGCCAAAGATATCATTTGCTTCTATGAAAAGAGGCAGTCTAGTTGAGCTTGGGCTCCGTACTAGTTCTAAAGTAGCTAAAACTAGTTAAATTGACTGCAGGATTCGTACATATCTTCACACATTCTTTTCCATATAATATTCAATACAAAACAGATCCCAATCTTTTGTTGTCTAAGCATAAATAGATAATTATACCCGCCAAGTTAGTAAAAGAACAAGACGCACTTGTTGCCTCTAATTAACTCAGTGTGCAAATAGTAGCATTATTTAAATCGTGAAGCGAGATATCTCATAGTAAATTAAAACCTGTTTACGAGTAGAATTGCATTGCTTTTTGCAAGTGCTCTGCTGAGTTCGTTTATGCGCCAGCTGACGGCAATGCTTTACTGAAGGCTCATAGCCCGCACATGCCAACGCATACATACATATACATATATCTCTTCCAATTAAATGGCAAGCGAAAAGTTCTTGAATTAGCCAAGTTTAATGTTGGTGGCTGCCACATAGCTCGGCATGAATCCGCTCACCGAACAACTCGGTTGCAATGTGTCTGGGATTACACTCCAGAGCAATGTTTAAGCCGAGACTCAAGCGCAGCTCAACAGCTGTAGCGAGTTAGTTCGCTGACTAACTCTCGGCGGCGGCGATATAATATGAATTATAAAACCGCTAAACCGCTAAGCGCCCACTTCAGTCATTTGTTTGTTGCGCGTTCGAGTTGAAGTGGTGTTCTCTAAAGAATAACGCAGATTGCGAATTTAACCAGCGTCTGCAGTAAGCGTTCAGTACCACATATCATTTCTATTGGTGAATGAAAATAAGTGCACATTAACTCCCACAAGTGAATAAATACAACGTCAGTAAAGCAATTATAACTTTACGCTCCAACACACCTTTGCATAGGCATACATATGTATGTATGTATGTACATATATACATGCATAATTAAATGAAAGTGAAAATGCCACAAGACACAATGGAACGCCAGAACCACCAAGTCATGAACGATAATATGAAAGATAAATACGGACGTCCCGTTAAGCCAGCTGCAACGTTCACAAATGCTGCATACACCAACGATGAGCATGGTGCCGAGACCATATTTCGGCGCAAAAGCGGTAATGCCAATGGTCTACAGTTGACGGAGAATGGCAATGTCAAGGAAGCAAGTGCGCCGATTCCACCGCCGATGGATTTCGATGACATATTGCCGTTGATTGGCGAATTTGGGAAATATCAAAAAATTCTATTCCTACTGATGATACCGTTCGCCACATTTGTGGCCTTCGTTTATTTTTCGCAAATTTTCATGACACTCGTACCGGAGCAACATTGGTGTCATGTGCCCGAACTGGAAGAGCTCAGTGTGGAGGAGAGGTAAGTTCAAAGATTACAATGCATTTTTTTTTTTGTTTTTTTTACTATGATTTGAAATGATTTCCGTATTAAATGGGGTATCGCATATTTTTTGAAATCGACACGAGTTCTTCGATTATCACAATCCAATATGTTGATCATTTCCGGCTAATAAACCCATTCTTCGGCAAATAGTATATTGCATATAAATAGTTGTGAAAACCATATTATAACATCAAATGCTAATAATTTAGAATGGTATGAGAACGTATTATAGTAACCGTGTTACTTGCTGTAGTTCAAACAAAGAACCAGGAAGGATTTTGAAGTGATCAGCTGTTTAATGCGTTTAGAGCAATAATCGGAAAACTTGAACAATGGCATACAGCATCAAGTTAGTTTCTTAAGAATTTTGGACAACAATGCCATTATGGTCTTATGTACAATATGTAGTTTAGAGCGACAATACTCAGGTTGCACTTGTTGTGGCTATCAAAAGCTCAATAAAAAAATTAATAATAATACATATGTATGTACATATGTGAGTAGGCATCATGCGGAAATTGATTATGATTCTAGCATGTACTATAAACAGCTACAAAAACAGCTGGTTGTGCTCGTCTTCCTCGCTCTATATTTATCAAAGAGCGTTAAACTGCTTGTTGGTATCACAATTATGAAAAGTTCTCAAGTGAGTAAACGATTGGATCGATTAAACAAAAACCCAACTTAAAATTTTGTGAAGATTTCATATGAAATAAATATAATTTCCATACTTAACTTAATATTGATCGTTCAGTTTGTATGAAAGCTATATACTATAGTGGTTCGATCGAAGTATTTTCTTCACATATTATAGGATTGCGTTAGGTAATAACATTACAAGACCTTAACTTTGATCGTTCAGTTGGTATGGCTGCCACAAACATCTTCTCGGAAAGCAACTTTCAGACAGATATACAGACAGCTCCTTATGCTGGTCATTTATATACACATATGTACTATGTATATATTAGATTGTCAAAAAAGTCTTGCGGTATTTCTTGCGGTATTTTTATTGAATTTTCAATTGTTCATAAAATTTTTTTTGATGACTCATGCCCAGCTCTTGACCGATGCTACAGCTGCTACAATGCCGGTCTCCTTCGACCAATTCAGCGATTTTATCGCAATTTTCGACGACAGGCCTTCCGGAGCGTGGCGCATCTTCGACCACCTCTACACCAGAACGAAAACGTTGAAATCATCGTTGTGCGGTGGAAATGGAAACTATATCCGGTCCATAAACTGCACAAATTTTATTGGCGGCATGAGATAAATTTTTGCCTTTATCGTAGAAATACGGTAAAATATGCCGTATTTTCTCTTTAGTTTACTCCATGTTGGCGACGCTATAACTCACGAACGACTTAAAAGAAACGACAATCAATCAAACAGGTGTTAGCGCGTGAAATGAGCTTTCCAAAAAGGTATATCATGACCCGATGCGACGAATTAAACTAGAACTACGCGCTCTCAGCGCCAACTAACGAAAATACCACGGTGTTAAACTTCGTGTACATTTTATTACATATATACTATTCAGGGTACAAAATTTTAATAAAGCATGATCCATTTCGAGATTCCCTATCTTTTTAAAGAAAAGAACACAGAAACTTCAAATTTAATTTGGAATATTTATCATTTGAAAGAACGTTCTTTAAAATTTATTTTTTGTAAGATTATCTCTTTTAAATGTTAGCCGCGTCTGCGTCTAAGATGGTCCAAACGTTGAGTCCAATTTTTGATGACTCGTTCGAACATTTCAACTTTTAACTGGCGAACGATACGTGTAATGTTCCGCTCCAAACCCTGAAACGAAGCGAGGTCGTCCGACCGGCCCAAAACGTGAAATTATCTGCTCACCGAATTGTTCTCTCAATATTAATTAGTGCGATGTGTGAGACGTGGCGTGTAAAGTAATAAAGTTGAACGATTTGTAAAGGTTGTGTAGACGTAAATATTTCCATGATGAAATGTCAAAAAATACTGAACAAAAGTAACATGACATCTTAACACGACTCTCGCGTGGTCTGTCAAAAAAAGGCTATTGGAAAAAGTACCTCTATTGGACCATCAGTTACTATTCAGGGTATAAAATTTAAAAAATTAAATACTTAAACGTTTTCGTTTAGTAATTAATTTATATTTTGCTCCGACTCATTCTAAATAAGAAAATTATGACAGTCTCATTTTCCGCAGATGCAATTATCGTGACATGACGTAACTGGGGCAAATGTTATGTGCAAAAGTTATAAAGCAAAAATGTAAATAGAGGAAATAGTTCATAATACTGAAATAAAACAAAATTAGTGCTAATTGAAAACATTCCTCCTCAGAAACACAAACAATCTGTAACTTGAGCACATTATTAATGTAATGCATACACACCATTTGTGTAAATAAATACCATACTTTTGCATTTCCGATGCAAATCACCACAAATTAATCTTCTAAGTTTATAAGTATAGACAATGAGCATGATAATTGGAAACAGATTAGATTTATATGGCTCGAACGCTATTACCTTGGCTTATTATTTGTTGCACAAACTTTTTCTTCTCATCATTTCTTATAAGTTACTTGTTTAGCCTGCCACTCAAGATATTAATTAGCTTTAGTTCATTCAATCCACAAGAAGACCTTGTTTTGGACAATCGGACTGATGCCTGCATCGTGAACATTTCTGTTGAATAGCTTCATTGGACAACTTATCAGATACATCGACGGAATCATTTTTTGCAGCTTGCGTTGTCGTCTTTCATACCTTGCGACATATAAGTACCCGGAAATAGTAAATAACACGCAAAATATTTTAGTAATCATTAATATTTATTTTGTCGCCTTGAAAGTAATCCCCACCAGGTGTAATACACTTATGCCAACGATTTTTCTAGTCCTCGGAACACTTTTCATTTTTGTGGATGTCCTTCAGCTTCTTCATTGAATTTTTCTTTATCTCTTCGAGCTACAATTTCAGTTTGGGGAACAAGAAAATATCACACAGACCCAAATCTGATTGATCGATGGTATTCATAGCGTTTTTGGCTTTAAATTCGGTCATAATCGTGGCTCGATACGTTGGTGCATTACCATCGTGTAAAATCTATTAATTATTCTTCCACAAATCGTCGTTTTCGTTAGATCTTCTCACACAAACGCCTCCATACGGTCAAATAGGACTCTGTGTAGATTATCTGTAGATTGTCTGTATCTCCGGAACAAATTCATGATGCAATAAACCATGAATATCGAAAATCACAATGAGCCTCAACTTGATTTTTAGCGACTTCGGAGTGTTTTTTTTTTTTTTGTTTTTTTTGGTTTCGACTCGTGTTTTCCCTCCATTCCGATGATTGCTGACTTGCTTGCATGTTAAACTCATAAACTCATGTCTACTCTACAGTTATAATGCTCTCAACAATGTCCAAAGAGACCTGTTTACAGTATTCTTTTTGAAAAAAAAAAATCACCTTTATCAGGACCAGTCGAACAAGCACGCGTTCCATTCCCAAAATATCCACTAAAATATTCAAATGGACTCGTGAGGGATGCCTTGCCTGACGATTTTGAAGCACTATATCCCTCAACTAGCTAGCTATCCACAAGACGTACAGAAATTTCAAATTCAGAAGAAGGGTTTTTATACTTCTAATCACAGTGTCGATCGCTTGAAGAACCAAGTTTCTTTCATTGATTAACTGAAAGATTTTAAACCATATGGAGACCATCAAAATGTACTCAAATTTGTCCATCAACGTTTCGACGAGTTGCTGCTAAATTTTTTAACTTCTTTCAAAGCTTTTATCAATTCGGAAAGAATTTTCGCAAATGGTTTGACGGCATCAATTCTGGCAGACTTGTTATAGAAAGTCAATGAAGGGAATTGGGTATTTTGGATTTCTGAATTTCCCAATGTGGTACTGCTACTGAAAAACTGAAAATGTTGGAACATTGTGGAAGAACACCAAAAGAAATTATTGCTCCAGCCAAATTCAGCTTGCGGGTACCACAAGGCGAAAGAACTGAATACTACTCATTTTTATACCCGAAACTCGCAATTAGTAAATAAACGTAACTTCTATTCCATGAGGGCGAAGTCGCTAGCAAAGCTAGTTACATATATAAAATGTTGCATATGTAATATTTTCTATTCTTCAAACATGTATATGTGGGTATACATTTTTTTGTACTTAATTACTGTGTCATTACATGTAATCATATGCAAATATAAGTGGTATATAATTATGTTTGCCCACATATTCTTCTATACATTAATCTACGGCTCAGTAATCACAGAACAGAAAATAATTAAAAATTCACTCAGACCAAGCTAGGGCATAAATGAATGAATGAGTTCGAAATTTTGCAAAAAAAAGTATATTAGGTTGTTTTCAATTTATGTAAGTTTCAAGTTTGTAAGTTTAAAGTTTGTAAGTTTAGAGTTTAAGGCTAACGAAGTTACAAAGGCGTGTAAATTCCGCATGATATACGAACTGCTATTGATAGTGTTATATGCTGAACAGGGTATATTAAATGCATCAAGGCTGTTCTAACTAGCAGAAGGGAACATCGGAAACCCTATAAAATATACATATACCATACATAACATATGCCATATATGTACATAAATAATCAGCGTGACGGGCTAAGTTGATTCAGACATGGCTGTCTGTCTGAATGTATAGAAACTAGTTCCTCAGTTTTTGAAATATCGATCTTATATTTTGCACATGTTTTTTTCTGTCCAAGAATAGTGTTTTATTCTACATATAACTTTTGGCTCAAATCATAGATTCTCTATTAAGAAAAAGTAAATGTAACTATTGACAAAGCAACTACACTCTTCCATATCAAGGTCAATTGAAAAGTCTCCACCCTGAAAGGTAGATAGCACTAATAGAACCCTCACATTCTAAAGTCGCGTCTATAAATTTAACAACTGTCAGATCATTAGTTGGTGAATTATATCGAGTGAAGCA